GCCGGAGCCGTGCCCGCCCCGCGGCCCCCGCACGGCCCGCACAGCGCCGCGCCTGGAGCGGCGGCCGCGGCACCGCCCGCACCGCCCGGGCCTGAGGGGCGGCGGCGCTGGGGCTGGGTGCCCGGCCCAGGGTGACCAGCGCTCCGGGCGAGCTCAGCCGCGGCCAAACGCCATCCCTCATAGACCTTGACGCTTTCGCTTCCCCCGAACTCCAGCTCCCAGGGTTAAAGCCTGTGTTCACCATTTCGGAACTGAGGGGAGGGCAGTGGACGTGTTGCCTAAAATCGGCACTTAAAAGAAACTTCTAAGACTCAATCTTTGAGTTTTAGAAGCCAGGCACTCCTTATTGCGACGCCAGGTGCCCTGCGAATCATTTCGCCAAAGTGCACACTGAGGGATCGCGACACAGCTTATATGTCAACATTACATGATTATTTATTTTTCATTCCCCTCATTCTCATTACATAGTCATGACATTTCCCAACACTTATTAGCATATGTGCATGTCCTTGTAAGGTCTCTGAGGGTCTTCATCGAGGGTCTTGGTGCTCTTCTCTGAAACCCCCCCAACTTCTAAGAGACTGCTTTGTAAACTGCAAGATGATGCACATGGTTAAAAAGTAACTGGGTGTTGCCTTGCTGGCTGCCTCAGTTCTCCTCCTCATTGTTTCTTTAAATCATTTGGCTTGGCTATGTGTAGTTTCTATGTTGTAAATACTATGAATTCTTGTTACATCTCCAAACCCCGACATCAGACGGAGAGTTGCTGAAGGGGAGCGAGCAGCCCTCAGTCCTGCACTGCAATGCCACATCCAACACCGACCCCTGCACCCTGGGCTGGTGGAGTCCTGAAAGTGTCACAGTGTAGAGGGACCAGCTAAAAACAGAAGCTTTTTGAACAGGTAAATGGAAGCCTGAGACTTTCCCTTGGAAGTTGTATCTGATAATCATTTTAATCACTTTTTGTTGGCACCCTGAATAGACTTCACTGCTGTATCTGCAAAGCGTACATTTCTGCATTGGTAAAGCAGAACATACTGTTTCTGTCTGTCCACAGCCTTCATGAATATCCAGCCCAGTCTGCACTTTCCATTCTTCCACTAATCACCGTGGGTTGATTTGTTTCCCAGCAGTCAGTGCTGCAGCTTTTGAAGGTAGAGCTTAGTGGAAAAGAGAACACAAATAACTGGCAGCCAGCTCCCTGCTGTGCCTCATCCACTACTGTGCTCCTGCACTGTGGGGTTCTCTCTACACAGGACAAATTTTGTTCGAGTCCTGTTGGTTCCAGTTGAACTGATTATCAGATACAACTTCCAGGGGAAAAGTCAACTGCGATAAGCAACACTAGAAAAATGTAGTTTCTGTAAGTCATAGACCACTTATAACAACTGAACCAAAAATCCAAGGACTGTTTCTCATTCCTATGGGAAGACTGTTAGCAGGAAGATCAGAAGAAATGAACTGTGCTGGACAGAGTGGAGAAAAAAATTAATACACTTGCTGTTTTGCAGGATTTTTTATAAAGTAAGGTATTGCAGATTTACACAGCAACATCAAGTAAAAGACATGGCACTATATCCTTCCTAGTTTAGGTTTGAATACATCCTTACTTGAGTCCCACCATTTTGCTGTCCCAGGTGCTACACAAACAGCTAACAGGGCAAAAGCAGACACTGATACAAATGAAATGGGAAACTCAGGGAGGCAGGAGCACAAGTGATGGGAGTTAAAGTTATTTAATGAAGTGTCACCAACATCTTATCTTTATTGTTACTTAAAGGATAAAAAAACCCCAGTAGGAGTTTAAGAGAATACTATTGCGACAACTTCTAAATAGATTTTTAAAAGTTAGTTATAGTCATCCCAAGTATATTTACAAAAAAGTGCAAATAAAATCTGTGTCATTAAAATTGTCTTTAAGGACTAGGCTAGTAAAGAATTTAAAATATATAATAAAGCAGAAATTTAAGATCTGTAGCAACAGCTGCTCATACTTTAATTTTAGCAATTACAGTTTTATCTGTTCTCTCACACGTCATTAATGAGTTACTTTAGGATTTACTGATATTTTTGTGTGCTTCAGCAATTTCCATTTCTATCTGTGTTAACCAAGAACTGTTTTGTCCCATTCTGAGAACATGTATCTAATATCATTTGACTGTCCTGATTACATCAAGCATGAAACTTAGTGAGTTTAAGATTCAGACAAAAAATTTTATCCATTTTCATGTTCTCATAGAGGGTCTAAGACATAAATAGCTTTTGTTGGAAGAATTTCCTAAATTACTAGAAACAGTTCTAAGAGGTGTCAAAGCATCCGCATTCAGGGGGAGACCATTAGATTTCTCTTTGAGAAGTGCATGTTCCCACTTGAAGTATCCACAACCTTTTCTGTTACTGTTTTGCTTGCCAACAGGACAACAGAAAAATGCTTTGCCATGATTTGGGCCAGCATTTGACACACAGAGTTTTTTGGCTCTTCGACCGCAGTTGCACAGAGGGGGAGTTGGTTTTCCACTTCTCACAGCTCTTACACGCGGATTCAAGTTGACCGTGGAGTTCAGAATGGCAGGAGACACTTTGGGCAAATTCGAACTTCTCAAAGGTAAGGAATGATCAAAAGATGAAGTCTTCTCTTGATATATAGCCAAAGACTGTTTTTTTGCTGGTGGGAATGTTTTTGGACTAGTTGGCTTTCTTTTAGGAACCTCTGAAGAAGTAGAGTAATTTCCAGTTAGTGCTGAAATGGTATTTCCCTTTGCAAATGGTAACTTAAAAGCTGAAAAATTTGAAGTCTGCCTTTGCACTGTTCCTACATTATAGATTGTAGTATCAGGACTTTTGTAAATGACAGGTTTCAGAGGTTCCATGGATACTACACTTTTCTCCAAACTCTGATTATCTGAACTTGCCACAGCCAATTCTTTTGAAATTGTTTTTTCTTCAAACACTGTTAAACTATCTGTACTCGAGTCATCCTTGAGCTGAACAGAGTCTGAATTTTGTTCATACTGAGATTCTGGTATTAAAGCAACATCTTCCCAGTCTGTCAGCAGAGACAAGCAGTCAGCACTGGTACTGATCTCCTCACTGGAGACAGTAACTGAGGGGATGGTAGTGGAGACGAGCACCAGTCCTGGTCCCTGTACTGGGGGGCTGTATCTGGCTGTACCCAGAAGCTGCCCATTGCTCAATCCCTGCTGGATGCCTGTTGGTGCAGGACTGGGAGATGGCCGTGCCAGCTCAAGAGGAACAGGAAATCTGTCACTAGATGCTGCTGAAGGGCTTTGGCATTGAGCATGGAATTCAGTCCTTGAGCTGCTGCTGGGTACACCATGGACATCTGCTGAGTTACAAGTGGTCTGCTGTTCCTTGGTCTGTGCATTAGAATTTATGTTGTTTCCAGCAAAAGAGTATTTGTTCTCAGCCAGAGAGTTTGTTTCCAATGTTCCATCTCTAGATGTTTCAGGCCTGCTCTTACTTCCCAGTGGAGTCTTGTCAGTGAAGTTTCCAGCCAGTGTTCTGGCAATTAAATTACCCTGCAGACGTGCCTAGGGAGTCCGTAAACAAAAGGAAATTTTGGAGAGTGAATACCCAGAAGTTTTGGGAATCAATGCACAAAATTAATAAGCGTATCAGCCTACGGATGTTCTGTTCAAATCAAAGTCAGGATGCTGGGTTTATTATTTGAATAGCTCATCTTTCATCTGTATTCCAGGCTACAAAGCAAGTAGATGAAGTAGTTACTAACCTTATCCAAAGATTTAGTAACCTTCAGCACACATCCATCACAAATCAGCCTCCAAGCAAGATGAGCAGTATTCCGAGAATCGTCCAACCCTTCAAAAGTATGATTATATTAATGACTTCTTTTTAAACTGCTACTGGGAACAGTTCTTATTAGAGGAAAAATGTGATCTAGGTAAGCCTTACATAAATGACAAGGAGTCACAGAACTCTGACACAGTTATCTAATTCAAAAAAGGAAAGCGGAAGTAGAAAATTCCAAAGAATTCCCTGTGCTGAAACATCTGAAGGACCAATCCACAGACTTGAATATCTATTCACAATTTTAAAAATCCTTTCCCTGTTTTATTAATCAAGTCCAAAAAAAAAAATTCATATTGTGCTGGAATTTTCTCACATTAACATGCTGTTCAGAGGTCGAGTTTTCTTATCCTCCCTCCACCTCTTTTCTTTTGCATCCTAGCAATTCAAAAATTGATCTTGTGAGCATGCACTCAGTAGCACTAGGAGAGACTTCAGAAAAAAAGTATGAGTCTAGAAATAACTAAATATGATCTTTGAAGCATTTTGCCTTTCTTATTTTGCTGTTCCTTTGGACAGAACATTGCATAACCTGGAAACAATTGTTACTATTCAGAGTAGTGACTAGCTACTGACTCACTGCTTTAGTTTAGCTAACTAAACTAAATAGTAAATATTTAGCTTTATAAAATAGATATTAATATGCATTATGTGCCTATATTAAAATTAGGATCATCATATCTCACTTACCAGAATGTTCCCGTCCTACAAAAGCTATCCCCAAATCCTGCAAAGCTCCATTTAGCCCTTTAGGCTTCCTATTATAGAAGGCCTAAGGAAAGAAATGCAGGTGCTCAACATAAAGCATGTCAAAACTTCTTCCTAGTCAAATGAAAACCATTTCAGAAATATCACCTTATGAATAATAAGTCTCACAAGTCAATTGTGCAAGTTGGGTGTCTGCATTGAGGATAAGACTGTGACTTACCCTGTGACAAATCAGAATGGAAAGAACCATGAAACCCCTCTCTCAGGCTTAAGCAAATCCATTCTGTCTGAGCTCTGGAGTCATTTGTGTGCACTCTATGGCTTACACTGATGAAGGCCTTAACAGACCAGCACTGAAGAATATAACTATAAATAATACCTTGACATATTTAAATATCCAATCAAAGGCACGGGCATTAATATATTTGACATAGATATGGGATTTTTTTTAAATGAGAAAAAGTGAGTTTTGCTACTTACTCCCAGTATCTGATTTGATCACTAGGAAGGGGCAATATTTACATTGTTTATTTTTATAGACCTAGTTCTGTTGCACAAGTAGACTTGTGGGTCACCCTCTGAAAGTTTCCTTGATTACACAGGGAAAGGTACACTTAGGTGCTGTTAGTCCCCAGGTTAGAACTCTGTTCTGGTATAGACTATGTAATAAAATATACATTAATTTTTTCAGTGTTATCCATACTATTCAGAATGTACTTTCTGGTCTTGACCTGTAAGTACCTCTATGATGATAACTTTTAACACAGCAATGCAAGGCAGCAATAAGGCACTCAAAACAAGGGATGTTAGGAAACAACCAGAGCAAAAGGTTTAAAGAAAGGAAGAGCAGCTCAAAAATTCTCCTGGGATTATCGATCATTTATCAAACAACAATCTCTTCCTACCATTAAGATTTCCATTAAAATTCACACAGTTCTAGGCCATGTAGTTGGTTATTGAGTGATAACAACATAAAAGAAAACAGGTTACAAGTTACTCTGGTCACTGGGACATACAGCATTGGCTTGAAAGCTCAGGTATAGTTACCCTTTGAGGTGATAATGTGGATATAAATGTTTCAGTTTATTGATCTCCTCACCCTGTATGTTGCTTTGAGATCAATCCAGGAATTCAAAATGTCGGGTTTTCGCAGCTGCTTCCTTTTACACTCGTACTGCAGACACACACCCAGGTCCCAGTCTGTGCAGGAAAACCACAGTCAATGCACCACTACAGAACTGGCCTAAAATTCACATACTGTGGCCTATGTGGCCCTTTATGTGGCCTAAAATCTACAAAAAGGGACATAACATCAATAGGAGAGGAAGCACAGGCTGTGAAGTCTCTGTCCACAGAAAACACTGGGGTTGCTGCAATGGGACATCAGGAGAAGCGAATCCCTGCTGTTAGTAAATGACTTCAGACAAGTAAAGATCTCAATCATTAAATTGTTTAGACAGATAAGGAACGGTGACACAGTTCACTATGTAAAGCAGAAAAATGTAACAATGTCAGACCCTGGAGACAGAGGTGCTGCAAACACATCAGGATTCCATATTTTCAGCCTTATCCTAAAATTGCACATTTTTAATACCTAATACCAGGATTTTGGCAGAACAGAAGTGAAGACACAGTCTCACTAGTGCCACCAAATGTTATTACTCTGCAGAAAAAGCAAATGAAAATATTATTTACCTGTCCAAGTAACAAAGGTACAAGCTTTCGCTTCCGAAGAGAAATTACTCTGAGTATCTGTACTGAATATAATTTTCTTCTCCCTTTGTATCTTTTGAATCCATTTCATAAATTGTGATAAGCAAATGTTGAGAGGGACCCCTTCATCAACTTGATTCTTCATGAAACAGAACAATATGAGTGATTTAGAATGCAATGAAATTCATTTGAGGTTTATTTCTTTTTAGCCCTTTTTAAAGGCCTCTTTAAATAAAATTGTAAACAGCAATTATACAAGTGTAAAACAATGCTAAATCACAATTTATACCTGTGTTATACCAGTTAGTTCTGTACAGAATTCAGAGAGAACAGGATGCTCCTGAGGCTGGACATACACGTGGAACTCAGATTCAATCTCTCCCGTTGAGGTGTTTAACAGGACTGCTGGAAATTCGACTGCAACAAACACAGAAGGAGAAGAAAAAAAAGAGAAACAACCCAACACACAAAGAAGCCAGAAAGGTTAAAGCTGTCCAGAGAAATTATTCCATTTATATATGGGTGCCTTCCAACTCAGCTGAATCTATGATATAATATATAAATATGATTTATATATGTATTTTAGACAGATAGATATAATTAAACTGGGGCTGAAACGCCAGGACTCAGAAGGAACATAATGTAATGAAGACACGACGTTCAAAGGCAGATCCTGTGCCCCCCGCCCGCTCCCCGGAGCACTCACTGATCTCGGGCCAGCGCTGCTGCCTCTCCCCCCAGCACGTGGCCTCGAAGTCCAGCACGATGAGGAAGGCGAAGCGCTGCCCCGCGCCCGCCCGCGCCCCGCTCCGCGCCCGGGCGCTGCTCCGCGCCAGCCCCAGCCGCCTGCGGACACCGACAGCGGTCAAGGACAGCCCACAACCCCTCCGGCCCCCGCCGCGGCCCCTTCCACCCGCGGTGCCCCCAGAGCCCCGGCCCCACCTGGCCAGGCGTTTGGTGGCCATGGCGCCCTCAGCGCCCCGCCGCCATTTCAAACGTGCCGCGGGCCCGCCCCCATCGCGCGCTCGGCGCTCGGCTGCTCCGGCCGGGAGAGCGGGGCCGGTGCCCGGCGGGGCCCCGGCGGGCTCCGAGTGCCCCCCTCGGGCCGGGAGCAGCGGACCCGTGAGGGGCAGCAGGACCCCGCGCTCCGGCCCAGGCCATGGCGAAGGGGCTCTGCCTCAACGGGCGCAAGCGGCCCGCAGGGCCCGAGAGGGAGCAGGCGGCGCGGAAGAGGCGGAAGGCGGATGGCGGCGGCCCCGGCCCGGGTCCCGAGGTGAGAGCAGCGGGAGGAGCGCGGTGCGGGCCGCATGTCCCTTACGGCCCCTTCCCGAGGTGCTGCTGTGGCACACGGTGGGGCGCCGGGAGCAGCGAGTTCGTGTTTCACCAGCAGTGCACCGGGAGGGTCGGCTACAGGCTGTGCCTGCAGGTAACACCATGGAATGCTCTGAATTGGAAGGGATCCACAAGGGTCATCGAGTCCAACTCCTGGCCCTGCACAGGACACCCCAACAACCCTACCACGTGTCCGAGAGCGTTGTCCTAATGCTTCCTGACCTATGCTTGATGCTGTGACTGCTGCCCTGGGGAGGCTGTTAATGGCTTGGATTCTGCTCCAAGGAATGTGGAAACGAACTCATTTGGAGTGTTCAGCGTTACATTTAAGGAATTTTGTTTAAAAAGTACATACGTCTTCCAGTATAATCTGCTAACCAAAGCAGATGTGGGAAGGAGCGTTGTGTCTGAAGGGCGCAGAGCAGCCTCAGGGGGCACCTCACCCAGAGTACTCTGACTCAGTGCGGGACAGGAGTCACTGTGTCCGACCTGTGAGATCAACCCTGTTTGTACCCATCTGGAGACTGAAATTCCTGTGGTTGGCAGTACCCTCTACCTGCTGAATCAAAACTTCTGCCCTTTGTCTGGGTTTTTTTGTTGTTTTTTTTTTGCAAAGCTCTAATTAGGCCATGTTGAAAACAACAGTGTCATTACTTACTTTTCTAACTTAGCACGAGAGATGAGGCACCAGCCCGTGCTGTTATGGCCAGATGATTCTTAACCACGGGAACCTCAAAGCTTGTCAGCTCCCTTTAACTTCCTTACCCTCAGTCCCACGAGAGCAGGCTCTGGCCAAATTATTGAACACAAGACTTAGTAGTGTGCAGGGGAAAGCACAACTTCTGGTGGTTGTTTATCCTTTAGGGTGTGATATTCTGCAGTATTCTGAGGCCTTTTCCCCTCTGTATGCAGTGATGTCTTTTCATCACATATGAAAGGAGTGTCTTTAAAATTTTTACAGGAGGAATTCTTTGGAACAGGCCATCTGGTCAGTGGAGGTCTCCAAAACCCTGCATTTCCTTGCTGACTAGCCTTTAGAAGAATTTGTGCATTCAGGCTTAAAGAACTGCTGTGTTGAACAGTGTGGCACAGTCCCCACCTCATCCACTCGGTGTTTGCTTTCTGCAGGTTTTTTTGGATTTTACTGAAACGTTTTTCCCTGCAGGGGTCAGCAAACCTCTTCACCAGAGCAGATCACACACTGCAAATGGAGTAAATGGGTTTCATAAAACCTCAGATGGAGTGGGTACTTGTACAAATGTTCAAAGCTGTACAGCAGGAAGTGGGTGAAAGAGTTGAGAGAGTAGAACATTGTGTTTGCAGATGAATTAAGTCTCCTCACTGCATTCAGCTGCTTACGTTAATCTTTATTAAAGAAATCTTTGAAGTTAGAGTACCTGAATTACTGAAATGTTGACAGTGAATTTAATATTAAAGTGTGATCTAAAAGGAAATTTTTGCCTATAGTGAGTGGAGGACTTATTTTAAATGTAGTTGATTGTATCTGAATAGTTTTCCTTTTACTTTATTTTCCATGAACTGGTGTGATTACTTAAAACCTCTCTTTACTGGCATTTCCCTTCCCACAGGAAAAGTTGTGTCGCCTGTCAGCAGCTTTGCTTGGGGAGGACTGTGAAATCAGCCATGACCAGCTGTATGAGTTGTTGAAGTATGCAGCTTTGGGAAAATGCCACAATGCAGCACAGCCCAGGTACAAAACATCCACAGTCAGGAATCAGCCCTGTCCTGTGCTCTCCTGTGTTGTGAAAACATTCCTCAGTATTGGCCACACTGGATTTGAAACACTCGCAGCACGGTTGCCATAATGGCAGCCTGGATTGTGCAGATACAGTTGTTGTTAGACTTGACTAGAGACCAGAATTCCTCTTCTGACAAAAATCCCACCATTTCGTGGTTCTGTTTCGTGCAGTTATGAAAAACTAAACTACTGTTGTGGAGCCAAAGAAGCTTCACACACTGACAAACAAAATACCATGTTAAAATATTAACACAAATATTAACATGTTTCGTGTTAGATATAATTGAAACAGCATTCTAGAGTGTTTTGGGAAAAACATTTTAATCATTTTTCCTTTTCTCAGGGCAACTTCTCAGCACTGAAAGGAAAAGGCTGAGGAGGGTCCTTGGATAACAAAAATATGGTGAAATGATTCTTAAAATGAAACTCAAAGCAAACATTATCCCACTTTAGATTTTTAATAGTGAATAGAAAATTATTTTGTGGGATTTTTTTGATGCATTAATTCACTAGACTGCATCACTACAGCTGAAGTTACTTATGTGTATGCACATTCTGGTGCATATAAATGAGGTATAAATGTCTTGAAATGGTATGCAGCAGAAGTTTGCTATAACTCATTCTTTCTCTGTCTCCCATATTCTGTTGCTTCCAGGAATATGTGTCTTCTTGAGATAAGCTACAAAGCCTCTTCTCATTGAAGTAATTTGGCACTTTGCCACTCGCTGACTTAAAAGCTGGGCTGGTTCCAAGTTTGTTTTTAAGAGTACTTGATAATTGTTTTGCTTTGATTTTTATTTTATTTTTTTAATTAATGCTATTTTCTGACTGCAGCTGGTGCCGTATTTATCACCAAAGCCACCTGGCTGGAGTTGTGGTTGTTGTTCTACATGAAATGAGCCAAGTCCATTTCTACAGATTCTATTTACAGTTCAAACACCTCAGAAAACTGTTCCGGCATGTAAGTCCCCAGACTGCACTGCTGTCTTCTAAACTTCTTCCAGTCCTGAAACCACATCCCAGGGATTAGTGGCTGCAGTGGAATTACTGCCTTTCCTCAGGATGTGGCCATCTTTGACTCTCACAGCAAGCAAATGAGAGGATCTATTTGCTGCAGTTGTCAGCTCAGAACAAAGGCCAGGGCTTTGATATTAGAAACAGGATTTCAAGACTTTTATGTCTTTGAAGCCTTACCAGGTGAAACATGTATTGATGTTTCAGTCCTCTGACTGTTACATATCCTCACCTTCAGGGTGCCAATGAGATTAAAAATATCTTGGAATAATTCAGTAACTTGGAACTTGTTCTGAGCGAGGAGACTCCCAGTAGAGTTATGCTAGTCCCACTGTTGGAAAATTTCACTTTTATTATTTGCTCTTTTATATTAAGTTTCTCCCATTTCCCAAGAAGATTATTAAAATAATTGTTTTAATTTTCTGACTTACAAGCAACATTTTTGAAGGAAGAAAGAAGCACTTCGATTAAGGCTCCTAGAGAGTTCCTCCTGAACTGCAGCAAATGTGAATCACAACTTAACTGGAAAGACTGGAACTGGCTTTAACGTCTATCAAAGGAAGTCTTGAGATTTGCCTTCTTGATTGTATCAGGCAAGGCAAATCTGTCCCTTAGTACAAAGAATCCCGTACCATATGTCATTAAAACAGGTTTGGTTTATGTTGGTTTTTTTTCTTGAGAAAACACCAAACATATTTCCACTATTTCTTTATCTATCCTCCTCTAAATTTGGCTGATTTGGGGATCAAGAAGAAACTTATTTGCTTGTTATTTCTGCCTCTGTTTCAAAATCTCTTTTTTTCAGAGATTCACATTAACACCATCTGCTGACTTCCTCGCCAGCCTGTATGGGGAAGGAACAGACCTGAAACCTCAAAACGCAGCACAAGGTACCTTCTTTGGGTTTGCATCGTCTCTTTCAAGACAGTGACTCACTTTGAGCAGTAATTCATGACTTTGCATCCTCTGCAATCCCAGTGGGCTGCCATGATAAACTTGTTTACAAAGGAACACATGCAATGGCTGATACCACAAGACTTCTTACCCTGACTAGTTCAGTAACACTTCTTGGGCTGATTGTTACAAGTAAATGCAAAAAGAGAGAAAGTCTTTAACATATTTAATTTCAAATTCTGATGCTTCATTACCCATCTTGTGATTATTTTATTCTAAGATGTACCTAATAAAGGACACGGAGATATAAATTAGATTTGAGCTAATAAGTTACTAATTTCTTCTTAGTTTGCTTTGTTATACTGAGCAGCAAATCAAGGAGAAGAACAAGTGTGTTGACAACTGATTTCCTATTTTTACCCTCTTTATAGAGGTGGTTGTAATCCAACAGGCTTGTACAAAACCTGCAAGACACTCAAGTGAGAACTTCACTGAAACTGTTAGAAGTGTAAAAAGAGTTTTGAATTCAGGTCCTAAATAGGAGACTGAGCAGCTGTGACTGTCAATGTATCAACAGTCCTGTAGCATCTTGACTGTAAATCTACTGCACAGTCACAGGTCAGGGAGCTCAGGTATACTTTTCTTTTAAGAGCAATCTTCAGAGAATCACCCTCAGCTGTGAATTCTGGGGTCAGTTCAGTGTTTGCTTCTTTGTGAGCCACACTTAAAGCACATTTGTCTCCTGGTAATTCTTAAGGGAAAAATTTCACAGAGAAGGTAGGAAAAGAAAAAGAGAACTTCTTTCACAGCTTATAAAGTAACACATGATTGTGTTGTCATGCTTATGAAGCAAGTTTGTTCTCTCTGTTTCTGAAAGGAATGTGAGACAGAGACTTGTGATGTGACTTGCTTCAGCCAGCAGTGTCAGTAGCTGAACTGGGAAAAAGAGTAAAATATGCTGAATGT